TCAAAGAGGAGGGACACCTCCCCTGACTAGTTCTCCTGACAATCAAGACAAGAAAAAGACATAATAGAAGCAAGCATTCATTCAATATCTCTGATGAACTGGCAAACATTTTTTGACAAAAACTTTAGCAAATCCATCCAACCATCCACTTAAAATAGCATGACTAAGCAGGGTCAGTCCCAGGAATGGGAGCTTAGTGTAGGTTTTGAAGATCAATCAATGCAGTGGTTGATGATGGAACTGTAATATTAATGATTAACTATAAAGAGAAAGCTATAAGTAGATGGATTTTGGCAATACCTAACATTCATTCCTGATTATATATGTAGCAAACCAAAAACAATTTCTCAGGGACAGCACAGTGACTCTCATAGGTGAAAGTGCTTGCCAAGCAAACCTGACAATTTGAGTTTGATCCCTGGAATTCAGAGTGGAAGGAGAGAATCAACTCCCTCAAATTGTCCTCTGAGCTCTCATGGCATGCATGCTCCTGTACTCATACATACAGATCACTGTTTCACACACGCATGCGCGTGCGTGCACACGCACGCACGCACACACACACACAACACTTTTTTTTTTTTTTTAAGCAATGTTGAGCAAATAGTAGGGAACCTCTCAACTGATAAGGGCTTTCCACCAAGATGGCTCTGGCAACATAAACTGTGTAAAAGACTGACTGGAAGTGCTGATGAAGCAGGAGGAGCTACTGTGGACCACACAGCAAGCACAGTCACCCCAGAAATGTGACAGTGACAGTCTCCAGGTGTGGCGATATGGGCAACTCTTAGGTGATTTTTTTTTCTGTCTTTGATAAATACATTTTGGTGGAACATGCTTATTTCCCATAGAAACAACCATCCCAGAGGGGTCCCTACAGGGCTTTCCTTTTTTGCATTTTTGTAAAATTTGAGTGTTCTGTAAGGAGATTGCGTTTGTCTTAAAATATGGAATAGGGCCTATTAGATGGCTCGGCAGGTAAAGGTGCTTGCTGCACAAACCCAGCCACTTGAGTTTGTTCCCTGGAACCCATGGTGGAGCAAGAGAATTGAATCCTCAGGGTTGTCCTCTGCCTCCCAATAATGATGATAAGTTAAATAAGTGAAAGCAAAACCCAAACCAATAGGCAATCAAGAGGGTGGCCTGAGACTGAAGTAACAGGTTGGATGGTCTTTGAAGACCCAGAAAGGCTGTTGTGGGAGTGGCGGTAGCCAGGGCGCTGGTACCCAGTCCTACCGCATTTTACTCGTCATGTTCTTGTCAAATCTGTGCTTTGGCTGGACACACAAACCGTGTTAATAATTGTAGTTAATACATGGAGCCGTCTCAGAACATTCGACAGTAGACTGAGCTCCTTAATCCTGTGAAGGCAGTTTGGGATCTCTAATTACTTGGTTGAAAAAAGACAGACACTCGGGGCTGCAGCAGTGTTTGGGAATTAATCTTTAAAGCCTGACAGTGAACATTCAATTCAATTAGGGAGAGCAATTGGCGAAGATTCCTTTCGCCTTCGCCCCTGGTAGCAAGCCGGGACTGACTGGTCCTCATCTATTCTGCTGCTGCCGCCATCAGCGGAGCGCCTTAGCAGACAGGTGTGCAACTTCACCTAGCGGGGACTGTCACACCTTTTCCAGCTCTGTCTCCTTAGACCTAGGCCGATGCAGGACACCACTGCCCAAGAACCCTAGCGCACTGTGCTGCCCCTTTGACTCAGGCATCGTGGGGTCTAAGCTTTCTTCTGCGTTCTTCCTTCCACCCCGCCCATGTCCCAGTTCCCTCCATCTGCTCCATGTCTCTCCCTACCTTTTCTCTCTCATCTCTTTGCCCTGCTCCTTTTTCTTCTCCCTCCTCTCTAACTCAACATCTTACTGCACATCACAAAAGGTTTATATGTAAGTGCGTTGTACTTGGAAGTATAGGGCAGGGACTTCCCCACTCTTCCTTCTTATGACTTCCCTCGCTCAGTGCTGTGCTCTGGCCTTGCTTCCAACTTGATTCTCTTAGAGCTGGCCATTCTCCTTGCTGCTCAGACCCCAGGCCTAAGGTGGTCCTGTTCTCTCTGACTTCTCTACTGCCTTCCCTCTAAGGGGTTCCTATTGCTTCTGACTCCCATATGGACCCCTGTCCCCACTGCTGCTGCCTCTCTCCCAAATTCCTACATAAGCCCCTGCATCTTCTTCCTGCAGGGCAGCTAAAGGGGTCGTGTAGGCTGGAGCCGGCTACCTCCTCCCCCAGGAGACCCCGAATGCTCTACTGCCATAGAGACATTCTCACCATACCCCTTCTTGTCACATCCTGTTCACCTCTCTGGCCAGACTGGCCTTTGTGCTGTTGCATACTCAGGCAAAACTCTTTTCTCATCCCTTTGTGAGGCCTAACATGGCCACCCTCTCAGCCCCTTCTCTTGGCTTTAGAGCCCCCTTTTTTTGCTGACCTTGGACCATCAGTCTTAGTGCCTGATACACTCCATTCTACTGGTTTGTGTAGGCCCTGTCTTTCTGACAGTAAGGTCAGTTCTTGGAAGGCAAGCGTTTTGATTTTGGTTGTTTCCTGTGAGCAGTGCCTGGCTAGCTAATGAGCACCCAGGAGTGTTTGTTGAATGAATAAGTGGAAGAGCTTCACAGAGGCAAACATCGGACACGATTGTTTCAGAGCCACCTTCTTCCTCCCTGTTCCCCTCACATGCCACTGTCTTTCTCAGGAAATACTGAGCAGTGTTCATAGCGCCTGCCAGTCCTAGGAGCAACAACCATCCTGAGCTTGGTTTTAAGGTCTTACTGAAAATGCATGAGTAGACAAGGTTTGTGTGTGTGTGTGTGTGTGTGTGTGTGTGTGTTTAATAAAACCACGGTGAAATATAAACCGCTGTAGCTGGGTTTAGGGCTGCAGTTCATGCTGTTGGCTGGCTTGGCTGCACCCATCCCCAGGACGCCTCTTCCTCTGCCCACGCTCCACCCACACTCCACTCTTCCAGCTCCTGGCCGCAGCCTTTCTGTTTCCTGTCTGTGATTCTGACTATGCAGGAAGCAGCATGAAGGGAGAATGTCCAGAATCCATTCTTTTGGGGCCGGCCTGCCCCACTGAGTACAGTGTGATCAAGGTTGCTGCATGTAGTGATTGCTGTCAGGGAGCACTGCCTAGAGGCACTCTGCTGTCTGGGCCGTCTGCATTTGGTTTACCCTTTCATCTGTCTGTGGACAAGTGAGCTCCTTCCATCCTCGACCCATATAAATAAGGGCAAAACTTCTTTGAGATCCCAGTACCAGATGTTTGGGTTTATTCTCAGAAGTGGAACTGCTAGGTTTCATGGCAACCCTACAGGTTTCTGGCAATCACTAAGTGGCTGTCCATCATGACTACACTGTCTTGCCTTCCTGCCAGCATTGTGGGGGGTTCTGACTTCTCCGCATCCATGCCAATGCCTGTTATTTTTGTTTTTGTTTTTTATACCAGCCTGCCTAATTAGTATGATGTTGTAGTTCATGTGTCTTAGAAAATGCCGTCACACTTTGTAAATGCGGCTTGTCCTGTGTGCACCGTGTTGGCCTCTTCCTGCCTGACTGTGTGAGCCCCGCAGAGCTTCACGTGCTCACTTAATTTTTCTATTAGCATCATGCTTGTGCATAATTCCGAAGAAGCAGCCACGTTCCGTGCTCTGCTGCCCTGCTGCCAATCCCCCTACACTCACCAGCCTCTGGCTGCTCCTATTAGTTCCGTGTTTTGAAACAACCACTGCTGCCTCTGGTTTAAGTCTCTTTAATTTGAGACCTAGCTGTTGACCCCTGGCATGGAAGGGGAGAACAGAAGGGCCCACCTCACATTCTGTGGGCCCTTTCCCTCATAACTTCTTGTTTGGGTGAGCTTAGACATGTACATATTCCCAGAAACCTCAGAACTCAGCAATTTGAGAGCCTCCAGGACTTGGCAGGTAGAGTTAGCTCATCTCTAGTGGAAGTTGTCCTAGGAGCAGGTTTGTGAAAGTGTGTGGGTGTACTTGTTTGGGCTTCTCTCGAACTTACTCAGGAAAATCTGGTGTCACTGATACTCAGGGAATCTTGCTGTTTCTGAACTCTAATCCCTACACGCCCTGCCCAACTCTACTGTTGCTCCTGCTGCAGAACTGCCCCTGCTC